CATTGTTGGTCTCATAGAATTCTTACAACTACAACCATTCTCAAATTTACCTCGACAGCTGAGCCCTTCATAAGGAGTACTACATGACAAACTCATCAGTGAACTGTTAGGAAAATTGCTTTATCAAATTAACTATAATTGAATTGGGCTCAACATGTGAGCAGTATGTGTATAACTAGACCTAGCTTACGTGATTTTTCAGACTGGTCATAGAGACAATGTTCTATCATGAGTATTTATTTTCATCCAAATAAGGACGTCACAACTAAAAAGAAAAATGACTTCAAACCTGTGTTGACCAACTCTTCAAAAGCAGTTCCCGCAGTTTGCTTACTTAAAGAATGATATTGACAAATGCTCCATGCTTCGGAAAGCTCATATTTCCGAAAGGTGAAAAATGTAAGGAGAGAAAAAGCTATGCTTTTCTTGTTTCAAACAACATCAACTTAAATTTTGTAAATCTAAAAGAGCTTGTAGTATAAACGGTTGTAAGCTGTGCCATCACCGTCGAATAGGAATAGGTTAACTGTGGAATTCACTAACTCAGACGGGTGGCAGAACAGGCTGACCCTAAAACTCGCTAACCGTCCCAGACAGGAATTGGCTAACTCCGGAACCCGCTAACTTGATTTTGTCCCACGGCAGAATTCGCTAACCCGGCCTCGCCCACTGCACGGAGCGTTGCCAACCTTATACAACGAATTAATCGTACACTACCGTATTTCAAAACGTCAGTGTCAATAAAGATAATTGTTTTTTTTTCATTATAAATTCCACTGCATTATTACAGCTACCAAAAACCATAAAATGTCACAATTTCTTTCCAAACAATTTCGTAGAGCTAAAAAAATTAAATAAGTTTGTACATCAACGTGTTGTTGTATGCCTAACGGTTACGGAGATAATTTAACCAATAAAAATTGTTATCTAAATGCCCATGATATTTTTATGGAGAATAGACTGTTGTAGTTTTCTTGTTTATGGATATATTTTAATAAAATTTTGTAATATTGTTAATTTCATACTAAGCTATCAAAGTTTAAAATAACAAGCATATCTCATTAAGTTACCTTCATTGTACCAGCACACCAAAGCACTAATTAAAATTTATCTTATTTAATAAGGAAATATATCCGACAATTTTAAGGGAATATTTTAGTGAAAATCTAGCCAGACAAACGTAAATTGGCTTAGTCTGTAAGTTTGTTGTGGCGGGGGCATTTAGATATACAATAAATAGCAACAGAAATCATTAGACTGTGATTTGACGACTATCCACATGGAGTTTAGAAATATAATTTAACCATGCTACATTTATTAAATTAAAATTGTATTTGTTTTAATGCAGGTAAATGGTTAAAAACTATTTCGTGACCTAGTACGAAATATACAGATGTGCCGATGCACGTATGAAAATACTTTAAACTATATGGTTTTACTAATGTACATGTTGCTTGAATTCGAGCAATCGCAAAGTGTTACAGAAGTTATTTCAAAACGAACAACAGTCATATATGAGTTTAAAAGAGTCAACTCAAATATTACCGGTGTGTAACTCATGGAGATACTCACGATGTATATAACAGTAATCAACATTTTCTGTAAATATTTTATCATATTTCATAACCTGGTATTGCTTTTTAATGTTTTCTACAAACATTTCCTGACTAATAGCCGCATAAGGTTGTCCATGTTTATCTTCGTTATTGATAAACATACGCATGGTACCACCCTTGTTGCCAGCAGTAAGTTTAAAAATTTCAGTCATTCTTTAATAAAGATAAAATCTTTTTTCGTCACCTTAAGGACTTCCTGTTGTCTGTCACAATTTTATTTGTTCAATTGGCATATTTTTAATTATAATAATTAATTGGCAATAACGTTAATTATATTTACCTGAGAAAATGCAGAGTTAAAGACCTGATGTTTGTTCAGTTGGTTTTTGTTTCCCTTAGCTATATATAAATAATAATAATGAAATTCCTTCAATAAAAATTTTTGATATTTTCATAGGCTATTATTCTAAAATCACTTGACTTTTATGGAAACATAGATTAATGTCATTGACATATCAGATTTATTTGGCCTTAAAGGGCTTTCCTCTGCAATGATCACAAAGTTAAGTCCATGTCTCCTACTAAAAATTGTAGCACTTCGGCTAACATCCTCGTTCATCGTTTGTAGGAATCTGAATCTTGTAAGTGTTCTTCATTATATGGGCTAATAACGATAACAAATTCTGTAAAAAATATTATCTCTATTTCTTCTACTCTGTGGCGTTCTATGAATTTTTATGTTTCCATAATTTGCAAATAGGTTCTTTCAATAATTTAATTTTTAAAGATTTAATTTTCGTAGGACGCATTTCCTTGAATTGCAGCTTAAATATTAACAGCAATTAAATATCCAGCTGATCATGATGGAAACAAATATTTTCTTCCTAAGGATAACATGGGAACTTTAAAAGCCACTGGGGCAGAGCCAAGGGACTTAAAAAAAATTTAAGGTCAGTTTGCAAATCTATGCGACACGCTCTTTCTAATGAGACGTCAATGAATAAAATCGGTTAAGAAATGGTGGAGAAGTTCAACCGACAAACTTCGTGTTGGCGTATTAATTATATAGATTAGTAAAAGATTTGCTTAGATTGTAGATCCAAAAACATACAAAAACTTTCATAGATCTTTATTTATTTCCATGATAAATTACACAATTTTTACAATTTTGAAAATAGAATGTAACATATCGAAACTCTATATTTTACTGGTATGGTAAACAAGTCAACTTTAAGATTGATATTGTCGCCTATTCCAACCAGCAGTGTGAGGGTGGGGGGATCCACAGGTGGCTTGTACGCCTCTGATTGGTTCTGTGGCAGGCAGCAGAGCGTTCAATGCACCTGTCTGTTAATTGATTGATCTGTACCAGTAACGTTTGGGTACAAAACAAAATAAGTTTGGAACGTTACAAGAAGCAGTCTTATTGAAACTTTCCGGTCTTTTGCAATATTACTACACCTAACAGAAAGAGGCTCTAATTAAAGGACACTCCAAGATGTTGTCCATTATATAGCTTCCCACTCCATATCTTGAAGTTTGGGAATTTTCCTCTAAAATTGAAAGTGTTTTTAAAATTCAAAAGAAAATTATAAGAATTATGACCTTTTTACCATAGAAATCTTCATGCAAAACAGTTTTTAGAAAATTGAATATTATGACTATTCCAAATTTAATGATTTACAAAACATTGTTAGCTGTGCAGTCAAATTTTGATGACTATATTAGTGAAAACTTTGACCACATTTAAGACCACCAGATTTAAGAATAATTTTCAATATCCGAGACACCGTTTGAAGCTTGTAGAAAAAAACTCCTAAATATATGGGGAAAAAGCTTTTTAATAAACTACCCACAACTCTAAAAACTTTAATTCATAATGAATCTTTTAAAAGCAGCCTTGCTGATTTTCTGACTAGTAAAACATATTACAGCGTAAATGAATACCTTAACGAAGCTAATGAAACAATATGACTTTTATTTTGTACAAAGTTCTTATTTGTCTTACTCTTACTATTCATAGAAATTCATTTTTTACTTTTATTGTTGAGCAAATCTTTATTACTTGTTTAGGGGTATTTTAGTGCATAAGACATATTATTGTATATTTTAGGTTAGTTTTACTTTTGACAATGTCATCTGTTTTTTAGCTATGCTATAATTTAAAACGTTAGGTGGCAATAAAGAATTATTTATTTACTAGCAGAGTACCCATCCTTAGTACGGGGTTGGCATATAAGAATAAAATGTTTATTGCAGTTATGCTCATAAGCTTTCTGTTTGAAATAGGGAAGGACACAGTTTGATAACATTTGCTTCTCTAAATTTAAGGTAAAATTTAAGGTATATGTATTACACATATACCATTGCCATAATGTTCTACCACTAAAAATTAATTATTAAAAATTCGCCAAATATCACAAATGATTAATGAAATTAAAAACATAAACAAACTGTAATCAATCCTTCTTTGACAGTTCTCATTGTGTATCACAGTTTTTTGTTTCTGCTTTGTTCAAATTATATTAGCTGTTTTCATAAATGCAAAAAAATAGTGCTGCACCCTGTTGGCAAATCTTATAATTTTTAATACTTTTGCATATCATAGAACAAACAGCTACTTTATCAAATTTTAAACAGCTGACTAAATTCTTTTATTCCCTTTTAATATGAATACTCATAAGGTCAACATGAGGAAATACAGAGCCACTGGGGCGGAGCCCGAAAGGATTTTTGTGATAAGAATATGCCTAAATGTTAATCGGGAATGTAAGCTATCATTATGCCAAATTTCAGCCCAATCCGTCCAGTAGTTAATGTGTGATTCAACTTTAAACAAACAAACACACAAACTTTCACATTTATAATATCAGTAAGATAAGATAAGATTTATTTATCTATCTAACTCAGGAGGTATAGTTGATTGAGCATGACAAACTGCTTCTTAGCCGATGGAAACCAATCTTTAATTTAAAGTTAGAAAGATTTTGTCACAGGATTCTTTTCAAGATAAAAGCTTCTTGATATCTGACCCAACTGCAGTAGTAAGTTGAACAAACCTTCCTCGGAAACATTGGACTTTATTAAGTGCTTTGGCTAAGGAGTAGATAGACATAATTACTTGGAAGTTAAAATGGAGAGTAACAGATGGTAGGCCTTGTGCATGTGGGGCTGAGAGTCAATCTATAAAGAACACTTAGATTGATTTCTGTCGATGATTGATATCCTTCACCTTCTTCCGTACAACATAAGTGAGGAGTGAAACTGGACTCAAATAGCTTTTAGCTCCTTGGATTTGGCTCTGTGAAAGTGTATCATCGTTCTGTAAATTTGTTGTGCTCCATCTGTTATTCATATTTCTATAATTATTTATAACTTTTTTTTAATTATAGATTTTCGAAATATTAATTGTTTAGTGAGTAATTTAAGACTTGGGGTTTTCAGCAAATCCAATACCAGTGTTTCGTCTTCAACTGCTCCAGGCCAGCAAACAAGGAAGAAGAAAAAAGAGCATAAAAGTGAGTATAAAAATGGCTTGTAATTGATGTTTAATGTTTTGTTACTAATTATTTATTAGTATTGAAATGCACTGGTCTTTGGTTAATTCTGGGTGATAAGTCAGACTTTCAGGAGTAAGGTTCTGGCAAACCCTGCCCTTATACAAAGTCTTCCTATCTCTCGATAAAAGTACTGGTACCAAAAACCTTGTAATATCGGCACCAGTACTTTGGTACTAACAGGGTATGGGCCTTTTTCCTTATGGATTTTGGATATCGATATTGGCTGTTAGATTTAGCTAGTTGTTTAACGATGACAGAAATGCCCTGACAGAAAGGGGCATCGGGCGATTTTTGTTCACATAAAGAATGGTGACCTGGGGGTAAAATAAATGGCAGTTCTGCACAAAACTACTTTGTTGGCTTATGTACTTATATTAGTAATAAGTAGGGATTAAGCCGGTTGTTCATGTCAGTGGTCTGTTTTACCAGTTTTTAGTAAAAAAATCCAAACCAAGAATTGACATACAAAGTCGGTTTTATCTGATCAGTTGTGAAATATTTTTGCCATGGTTAGGACTGTTAGGAGCACATAAAAGATTCATCGGATGTTGGTTTACGACTTTCATAATTTATTCCTAGGATAGGCCTAATGATGCAATTACATTCTCGTTATTATTTTATCATGACACTAATAAATAATGTTGTTAAGTTTTTAGAGTACTCAAAGTTGAGTAGATTCAAGTAATCACCAAAATAAATAAAACAGTTGAGCTAAAATCTAGTTTGCTTACATTATTAATTAATTAACAGTCCTAAGGAACATGACATAGACATAGACATACTTTATTTGCACAAAACATGCCATACATGTCATAACATTTAGAATAGGTGCATTGTCAAAATTAAATCTATACCTACCTATAAATTGCAAAGCTCTCACAGACTGACTGACTCACTCACTCACTCATCACTAATTCTCCTACTTCCCATTTACCTAGAAGACTGAAATTTGATACACTTATTAAATAGTCATTAAATAGGAAAACTAAGTAGTTTTTATTCTGATCTGACTTTTGAGCTCCGCCCCAGTGGCTCTGGAGTTTTCCATGTCAACCCTATGATTTTCATATTTAAAAGGAATTAATCAATCTTAACAATTGTTTCAATTAAATAAGTTGGTTCTATGATGTTCAATAGCATTATAAAAATACACGGTTTACTAACAGGGTGCAGCACTATTAACTTTTTGTTTGAATTTATGATAACAGCTAATTTGAACAAGGCAGCAACAAAAAGTTGTGATACACAATGAGAACAGTCAAATACTAAATTATTGTGCTACTGTGCAAATAGGGTAATTTCATTTTTAAGTGCACAATTCATCAACTTATTGAACTTAGTTTTTTCAAATTTTTATAAAAAAATTGCACTTTTGTTTACCCCACAAATAATGTCTTGGAAACGGAGTAGCGTGTTAATAATTTCAGTGCATTACTAATGAAGTCAATGACTTGGATGGAATCCATGCGTAAAACATGTAACATTTAAACTTAAATTATAATTAAACACTTAAAATAAAAAATAAGAAAATGTTCTAAATATAAGTTCTGTAAAAATCTTCAATTGAGTAAAATGCCTTGTCAATAAGTAAATTATCTATTGTCTCTTTAATTTTGGTTTTGTTTAAACTTATAGCATGGTGGAAGCACATTGTACAATCTTAGGTCAGCAATGGAGATTTTTCATGTAAGGTCAAACGGTGTCTGGGGAGTCTAACTCTAAATGTATATTCATTTCGGGTTTCATACCTGTGCTTGAAATCTATTGTTTCTGGTAGCTCATTTTTAAATGTAATTTAATAATTCTAGAATATACAACCCCGTTAATGTCTGAATTTTTTAAATTTTTAAAATGTTTCTTACAAGAACTGCGTGGATGAGAGTTGGTGATAATGCGAATAATGCATTTTTGTAACCTGAATATAAATTTTATACCAGTAGCTTGACCCCATAAAATTATGCCATATCTTAAAAAATCTTAACACAGACTCCACATAAGCATGATGAACGACTTTAAGTGTCTCAATAGAAACACAGTCCCTTAAATGAATTAATAAAGATGATATCAACCTAATTTTGGTATGTAAATAATTCAAATGTGAATCCCATTTAACCGTGTCATCTACATAAACCCATAAGAATTTAAGAGCTTCAACTAAATTAAGAGAACAGTTTTCCATATTTTTGTATCTAGTAGAAAATTTTATAATATTTGTTTTTCAACATTAAGTTAAATGTTGGCCTTAGTCAGTAACAAGACTACAAGATAGCGCACTTATCTCCATTGGCTTAAAATACCTACCTTTGTATGGTCTGGTTGCCAATTAAAAAAGTATAAAGTACCCGATTGGATGTTTCAAAATGTATATCGGGGTTTTAACGCTTTATAACTTTTATTACATTAATATAATTAAATCGAATCAAAACATCTTTATTTCCCTTACATGGGTACAAAAATAATGTCAAATATAAAGTACTAAAATAGCCTAAATATATACATTTTAAGTACTAAATTACCAATGAATATTTATTCAATGAGTAAATATCAATGTGCCATTGTATAAGGCGCCTTTCCTATCAAATGTTTTGTTTTAATTTAGCTTTAAATGATTTATAATTTGATTACTCCTTTATAGAGGCAGGCAATTTCCTTAGAATTAGTGATCCAGCAAAAGTTGGTTTCTTTTTGGAGAATTCCAGCTTATATTCAATTCAATTTCAGAGTGCAGAAACCTTCTCCGTTACCAATTATCATACAAAAACACTTTGGTGTACTAAATTATTTGTTTTTTTAAGCTCTTTAAAAAGGTCCCGAGAGAAATCCATAAATTTTAAGTTTTGAGGGTCAAAAATAAGAAAAACCAATTTTTTTTATCCCATTAAACCCCCTGTAAAACCCCATTCCCATGGTCCGATCATGCTGGTTCGTGAACTCATTCAAGTTTATCCCGCCTTTCACCTTTAAATCAAATTTCATCAAAATCGGACAAAAATTTCTCAAGTTATCGTGTTCACTAACACTTACTTTTTATTTAATATATAAACAAAATTAGTCCTAAAATTAAACCCTGTGGCACCCCCACTTAATTCTACGTTTATGAGAATAATTAAATGTAGTTAAATAATTGTTTTTTTGTTTGATTTTATTTCAACAAATTGCAACCGACCATTCAAATAAGATTGATGAAACCATTTTACGGGGACTCCCATTATCCCAAGACCTTCCAGTTTATAAATTCAGATTTAAATGACTTAATAAACACATTAAATTATTACATTAAATGAAATTACCATTATAAATGACACATCAAATGAAAAAGCAACTCAAAGAGTTTTATATAAAAGCCTACAAGTGTTCAAGGGGAGCACCATTCGTCACACGGCTCACATCAAGACGATGTTATTCTCTTTCAGATTATTACCTTCCACTTTCGATCACTTAACCATTTAAAAGTTATTTGTAAAAAAAAGTTAAGGAACTTCTGAATTTATAGTGGTAAAAAAATACCGAGTTAGAGATTTTTTTTAAACTTTGTACAAAATAATCTACAGTTCTACTTGACTAATTTTGTAAATTAATAGTAACTATTTACAGAATAGTAATATGTCATACTCATTAAGATTAGGTTTCAAATTGTAAATTTTGACTTTGTAAGAACTTTTCTTAAGTTTGTCAATAAAATGTATAAACTTGACTTCATTTTATAGGTATTCTAACTGTTGTTAGTTAAGTAATTTTACTGGTTGATTCAAACAGTTTATTCTACAAAATAAATTAAAATGATTCATTCATTAAACTATAGTACCACTAGGGTACAACTATTTAATTGTTTAACATAATTCATCTCCTTTTTTCAATAGCTCTTGTTATAATAGCATATGTTATACAGTTTTTCAGCTACATCATTTTACCTAATATTATGATTACTTGTGAGTATAACCTTGTATTGTAACCTTGACTTTTAAAATAAGACAATTTGTGAATTGTATAGATACCATAATATAATGAGGTTTGGGTATTTAGTCTAACCTAATCTTGCTTTGAAATATTATGGCCTCTATTGAAGCACAAGTGAAAATTTTAAACGTGTGATTGACCATTGCATAGTTAGAAAAAAATTTGATTTATTAAGTGATTTAATGAAAAAAAAAACAAAAAAAACTGACAACCGATAAAAAAAACTAACCAACCCGATGAATAAGCAACCGACCCATTACTAATGAGTCAACTCTCAAAACTGCAGATAGCCAAATAGGACAACATCCATAAGCATATATTGCTATCACTGACACACACTCTTGCTTGGTAGTTTATCCATAACCAATAATTTTAAGTGTTAATTAATAGAATGGTAAAAAATATTGTTTGGTTATGAACTAAAGTGAACCTTTGCTAATAAAAATAACATATCTATATATATATTTATAAAAAAAAATAATAAAAAACAAGTGAGCTCGTTCGCATGGCTCAATCACGTCCTGGTTGAAGTTCGTTCGCTACGCTCACTCACCTTTAGGTTGGAGCTCGTTCGCTCCGCTCACTTGCCTTCAGGTTAGCTCATTCGCTACGCTAACTCGCTTCCAGGTTGAAGTTTGTTCGCTACGCTCACTCACCGTTTGGTTGCAAATTGGCTGTAGTCATATATTTAAAAAAATAATAGTAGTGCTGCACCCTGTTGGTAATCCTTGTAACTTTAATGCTATTGAACATCATTAGAACACCATAGAACAGAACCAACTTGTTTAATTGAAACAGCTGTTAAGAAGTTCCTTTTAAATATGAAAAATCATAAGGTTAACATGGGAAACTCCAGAGCCACTGGGGCGGAGCCCGAAAGCCCGATCTGAATAAAAACTACTTAGTTTTCCTATTTAATGCCCAAAGAATCGGTGTACCGAGTTTCAGCCTCCTAGGTAAATGGGAAGTGGGAGAATTAGTGATGAGTGAGTGAGTGAGTGAGTCAGTCAGTCAGTGAGGGCTTTGCCTTTTATATATTTAGATTCCGTTATCAGTTCCAATATCCTTGATAATTAAACCACCCTCATTGAATCAATGTACATCGTAATTCCCCATATTCATTTATTTAAACTATAAAATATTCAGCGCCTCCAAACGTAACCACAACTAAACACACGCCAAACAACTTTTTTAGATTTCATAAAAGGATGGATAGTCTAATTGCAGTAACCTAGGTCAATGATGACGTGTTCAATCTATGTCATATGTCATTCATCTGTATATCTTTGGATAACACCCGTCTGAGGTTGTGGTGGTAATTTAAAATCGTATTCCTGAGGATTCTTGATCTCCATCTTTATGACATCAATATTTTCGGGCCTAATCCAAACAAAGTTCAAGCATTCAAAAACATTGATTGTAAACAAAAAGCTGCCAAGATGAATTAAAACATGTAAAAATTGTGATTTTCCTACCCTTTCCAAAAAAGTTGAGCAGTAAAATAATTTGCATATCTTTTTTATTTAACTCGTGTACAGAGCCTCGACTTGTACACATCGATGGTGTTACTTATCTCGGTGGTCTACTAATCTTACTTATTTCCTATAATCAATGACAAAATCAGAGTAAATAACCTCATAGTTCTATAGGGACATTGTAGTTGTTAGCCTCCGGATTGCCAAATAATATTAAAAAAGGTTCAAATACCTGCTATTAAGCAATCCAATTTTGTTGTTGACACAACTAGTTTCGGTTCGGAGTAAGATAACGGACGTACACTACTGCACTGACCACCCGCAGTCTGGACTCAAACTCCGTCGGGTTAGCGTCGTCTGTTTTCTTAACTGATCAGTTACCATAAATGTCTCGTATTCGTGTTTGTGTCGTGTTTAAATGTTTATTTATTATTTTCGTGTAAATATGACGCTCTTCGTATGAAGAAAGAAAACTGTCCTTGTGCAGCCTGATGATGGTGTCACACAGACACCGAAACTAGTTGTGTCAACAACAAAATTGGATTGCTTAATAGCAGGTATTTGAACCTTTTTTAATTCTATAGGGAATTTTTATAACTAACCAGCTGTTAGTTAAAACACATTATATTGCTCTAAAACAAATCAAAGATTACAAAGATTGCTTTAAAAAATAATTTGAACATCCTAGTATTTTACTATGTATATTAAATTAATCTGTCATCCTCTTACAGAAGAATTGAACGTATCAATGATAAGCATTACACATAGTATAAATAAGTCAACCCTAAGTATGTCTTTAAATTGTTATCCAAATGCTGAATTTGTGACACAAAAGCTGAATGTTTACAGCTGTTATGTTAAGCAAATTATTTTATGCCAAAAGCTAGTTTAGAATCTTAGCGTCTGCTGCTAGACTTTTTAAAAATTAAAACTTAATTTCTAAAAAACTGGGACCCTAAACTAAAATTATGGCTTCGACATTCCCTAGTTCTCAAAATTATCTTTCTTTCAACACAAAAATCATGAAAATCCGTCGAGTGGTTGATTCAGAATCATGAAATAAAAAAACACTGTTTCGTTTTAATATCATAGATAATGATTTATTTGACAGGCTCTACAGAGTCTGGGGTTAGTCTTGAGGAAAGCCACTTGCACGTGAGACTGAGCAGCCTTGCTGTGGTTCTGCTGCATGAAGATATACTGACAGTATCTCCAGAAACAGGCCAACTTACACAGTCGTCCTTGCAGCAGATGGACCATACGGCTCAGGAGTTCTTCAACAAACTTGGCCTGTTTGCTGTTTCCGTTTATGGAAGAAAGGATTTTGAGGTTGCCAAACAAATCTTTTTGGATGCTTGTCAACTAAATCACATCAGGTACATCAAATTTGTTCTTAATTTTTATTTTAGCAAATTTCCCATATAGGGAATAAGCTATTACCATAGGTCTCGTGGTAAGACCTAGACCCGGGACCGATTTATTTTTCATTTTGAGGTCCCCAGAGGCCAAAAACACCATCCGTTCAAATTCATATATACAGGGTGAGTTTTAATTGTCCCCCCCCCAACTTTTTTCTCCATTTTTTTCAAATATCAATCCCAGACCTTTTCCAAACATTGTTGGGTAGGAAGTATCTCATTTTGACAAGGTGGTCATTTCCGGCCGCCATCTTGTATTCGCAATATTGGATGCAAAATATTTTTTTTCAAACATAATGGTGGGGTTGTGACCCATTATTTCAAACTAGATTTTTACCCTGATTACAATGCCACAAACCGTTTTTAAAAATCTCGATCCATTCCAAAGTTATGAGGGCTTTTTATAACTTTATTTTTAGCCCTTTTTAACATTGTGCATTTACAAACTAAGACCATAATCTCAAAATAGTGCTAGATAAAAATAAGTATACACCACCAGTCAAGGCGGAGCCAGGACAAACTTTCGGTGGGGGGTCAGGTCAGTGGCGGTTCTTGGACCTTGTGAAGGGGGGCTGGGGGCCCTCCCCCGGAAAATATTTTATATTTTTAAAGTAGTTTAGTGACTTTCTAAAGCAATTTTTAACGCCTAAAACTGTCGTCAATTGTTAAAAAAACTCCCATTTAACTTGTTGTTTGTCATAAGCAAGTAGACATTTACAAATTTAAATTATGACAATTGCATTCATAAATTTCTAACCATACTGTAGGCTACGGCTAAAAACAGTTTGGTACTTTCTTTAGCCTCCCTTGGAATCACCACTGGGTCAGGTCATGACTGTGGATAACAGATTTAAGCACTTTCAAACACCAATTCCCATTCTTATTTCTAAAATGTTGATGTAAAATATTACGGGATGATAAATCTGTTTTGTTTGAGTAAAGTATTTTTGTTGAACCTACATAGTTTTGTTACCTCTTTAATAGATCAGATTTATTACTAGAATTATTATAATTATGAAATATGAATAGTTACTGCAAAACATAATAAAACATATAACATAATCCTCTGTTGTGGTTTCTATTTTATAATTTAACTTGCACTTTTTAAACCTAGTGTTATTTTTACTACTAAATTTTAGGATTTTGGGGGGGGGGGTTTGACCCCCTAACCCCCCCCTGGCTACGGCCTTGCCACCAGTCATTGTCAACCTATTTTCACTTGGTTGTGACGGATGCAATTTTTTCGGCCGCCATCTTGGATCCGCCATTTTGAAATGTGATAAATTATTTTAAACATGAAGGGGGTGTTGTGACCCATCATTTCGAATCACTTTTTTAAGCTGAACTCAATTCCACGATCTGTTTTTCATTTTCATATTTTGCTTTTGAAATATTGACATTTTTAACAAAAAAAATTGCTATATTTTTATAAAGAAAGCTTGATAACAAAAAATGGATTGCGGCATTGAGTTCAGCTTAAAAAATGAATTAAGATGTTCATGATTATGCAGTGACAGGAGAAGATGTACTTGATTTTGTCATGTCTGAAAGACGTTTACGAGTTTGCCATGACCAGAGAAGACGTTCACGACTTTTCCTTGACCGCAGGGGATGTTTTTGATTTGGTTGTAACCCTGGAAGGCTTTCACGATTTCACCTTGACCATGGACGGCGTTTACAAGTTCACCATGACTATGGAACTCAACCACTATTTTGACTGGCTCAACATCTTGCAAATGACTGTGGAAGATGTTCTTGATTTTGTAGTTACGACAGAAAATGTTTACGATTTTGCTGAGACCATGGTAGAAGTTATAAATTTAATTGGGACAACAAAAGATGTTCTAGGTTTCAACGTAACCTCAGAAGATGTTCACGATTTTACCTTGATGCATATAATAATTTGCTGTGAGCTCAGAAGATGTTTTTAATTTTGCCATGATCGTGTAAGAAGACGTTTACGATTCTAAAACAATAAGGTGGAGATCATGCACAATATTAACCGACTGTAGTATTATACAATAATTATTTCTTAAAATAAACACTTTCCAAATAACTGCCCGGCCCAATTTTGGCCCAAAACTGGAGAACTACCATTTTGACCTGACTTTGTATAATTGTTTTGCCTGCAGATCCCCAGTTGTTTGGCAAGTGTTGAGGCAAAGACTGAAAGTTGTACTATGTTACAGACTGCTGGCAGCTCCTGTGATCATGGAGAGTGATGAGAAGCGTTCTACTAGCCAGACTGTAGTGGGAGGTGTGCTCACAGCTGCCTGTGTACAACTGTTGGAGTGTCTGGTAGAGAAGGTGGCTTCTAGTACCAAACCAGATGTGGAGTATGTGGAGGTGAGGCAAAAACTGTTAAATCTGTCTTTATACCAAGCACCACGATTTCTAATTCACCGTAAGTGTATTTGCCATTTGGGGTTTACCATATCTTTCTACCCTGTATAGCATAACATAATTCAGATCAGCCCAGTTTACCTCCCTCATCAAATAGTTTTTTTACTATTGACACGTTTTAAATTAAACTGTGTGGAATTATCTCACTTGTTTGGACATAATAGCAGTAGTCTAATACCACTTTTTTTATTTTTAGTGGAAAGAACCTCGTATTAAAATAAGACGTTATTTATACCAGAAGAAATTCTTGAAATGAAAAGTCTAAAGATTTTCCACCAAACATGATTGATTTAATTCAACATACTTTTTAAATTAACAAGCAATTGTTTAGTACAAATAAATTTAATCAGTTTTTGTTGGGAAGCCTAAAATTATGTGACAACTAAGTTATATTTAACATTTTAAGTCTCTGGTTACATCACTACAAGAGCCCCCTGTGAAGACTGGAAGTCCATGGAGTTTCGGGAGGGTTCCGAAAAGTCACAAAACGAAATAAAAACAAATTAAATTAAATAGCAGCAAGGATAAGCGTGATTTCAATCAAACTGAAACTGGATTCTTGAATTTTACTTTTCTTCCAGACTTCGTCGTATACGACTTTTGAAGATCCACATCTTTTGAAGTTTGAGATACAGTTGAGGGCTTAACTGAAGGACATAGGCCGTATCATTCTGAAGGACATAGGCCGGTTTAACTCTGTCAAGACTTTTTAACATTTAGAACAATAACATTAGAACCATTCAGTTTTATTGTGATAGTTTTACCGTCTTTCTTGATCACTGGATGAGGTCCAGTGTATGGATGTTGTAAAGATTTTCTCATAGCATCCACCCTCAGAAAACCGTGCAAACATGTGTCCAAATCACGAAAATTGAAGGTGTGGTTGATGCTGTGTCTCTTGATATTTGTTGGTTTTATTGAGGAAATCTTCAGTCGTAATCGAGACAAAAAATTTGTCGGATCCCCTAGGGGTGCCGGCTTAGTTGTTGGCATAAAATACTCGCCAGGGAGACGTAAAACCTCTCCAAAAACCATTTCTGCAGACGAGGTGTTCAGATCCACACGGAAAGTATTTCTTATTCCAAGCACTGTGAATAAGGATTTGACCCAAGTGGAGGCGGAGTGGCACATAATGGCGGCTTGAGTTGTCTGTGGAAACGTTCCACCATGCCATTTGCGCATGCGTGGTAACTTGTTGTCCTTAATCTTGAAAATCCACACAAATTTCCCAACTCAGCGAAGAGTGCAGATTCAAATTGTTTACCCTAGTCTGTTGTTATTCGCAAGGGAACACCATACCTTGATATCCAACAATTGAAAAGAGCTGACGAGACTTCTTCGGCAGAGATACCTTGCAAGGGGTGTGCTTCCGACCATCTTGTGAACCTATCTACTCTACTGTAAGACAGTAACAAAGATTTCCCTTTGGCAAATTGTAGATTTGAACATATTCATGTGGATATAATCGGCCCATTCCTGTAGTAATGTGACCAGGGACTTAAAATGTTAAATATTATTTAGTTATCATCTAATTATCAGCTGACAGATGTTTAAATAGTTTTGTTATTTTGGTACTAGGAAGATATAAACAAAACTATTTAAACATATGGCAGCTGATAATTAGGTGACAACTAAATTATATTTAACATTTTAAGTAAGGATGGAAGGGATTGAATTTTTAGTTCGGGACGGGACGGGATTTTTATTTCCTTCCCGACTTTCGGGACGGGACGGGACGGGATTTATTCCTGTGCATTAAAATTAAGTCTTGAGTATTGCAGTTACCAAAAAAGACAAACAAAATCAATTTTTACCATGTGTGGCACTGATCTATAACAACCAAAAAATGGGTAAAAATTTTAAAGTTATAGAAACTTGTGACTCGCGGTCACGGTGCGATCGTCACAGCGTGATGCTCAGTATGACTGCGCGGTCATGGTGCGATTGTCGGTATGACTCCGCGGTCACGGCGCGATCGTTGTTATGACTCACGGTCTCGACGGGATCGTCGGTATGACTCCGCGGCTACGGCGCGATCGTCGGTATGACTCGTGGTCACTGCGCGATCGTCAGTATGACTCGCGGTCAGGGCGCGATTGTCGGTATGACTCGCGGTCACGGCACGATCGTCAAAATTATTTCACCTCCTGCGTTCACGGAACTATCGTGAACATCTCTCGCGATAGCGTCGTCATCGTCACTCGTGAAGCGGCAAAATCGCCAACGATCGGATCAAATCCCGTCCCGAAAAATTCCTGAATTAAATATAATCTCGTCCCGAAAATCAGGAATATTTTTTTCCCGAAAATTTCCCGAAATTTCGGAACCCGTCTATCCCTAATTTTAAGTCTCTGGTCACATCACTACAGATTCTAAAGAGATAGCCTTTGAATGATTCATGTCTTTCCATTGCTTACCTGAGATTGTTTTGCTCTTCTTGAACCAGATTTTGTAATTGGGATTTTGCTGCATGTCTCATGTTTGTTTTACATGTCCATTCCATTTACATTCCCATCTTACAATACAAGTAGTCAGCTCTAGCTTTTTCTTACGCTTTGCAGAGATCATCTCTCAACACACTCAATGTTGAATGTAATGTAAATAAAATTAACGTTTTTTGTTGCAGCTTTTAAAGTTTGAGCAAGCAGTGTCTGTGAGGGACAGTTCACCCATTCAACCTGACTTGAGACTACAGTTCAGGCGCACCAGTCCAACTAGTCAAAACACTGTTCCTCGTGTCGATATCTCGTAAGTCCTAGCCTAGTGTATATGTGTTTTGGCTTGAGCAATCAGTGACTATGAGGGACGGTTCACCCCTTCATTCACACACCCAACAAGTTCACTTTTGTACTTGTTTTGAAAAGTACAATTTGGGGACCGTGAATGGCGTAAGGTTGATTGCTGTTTTTTTGTTTGCAGAATTCTCCTGCAGAACTGCCAACTGGAAGTAGATATGTCCATTGTAGATAGAATATCAGCAGTGCTCAATCCTCAGCCACTTTGCTCTCCTATCAATCCAAAACCTGTGAGTAACATCAGCCAGTGGTACTAAAGCGTAGAATCAATATAATATCAAATGCTATCAGCTTCTTTTGGAATGCCTTTTGTTGAACTAAAGATAGGTTTACACTAGCATGTAGCAGTGGCTCCACTAAATTACACCAGTTTTAGTGTCACGCCACTAGAGGTTTAGACACAAAAGTGAATGTTTAAGCCATGCCACTGTTATTGGCGAAGTTTTAGTTGACGACCGCTGTTATAGTTCGGCCGCTTAGAAAGCGACCTCCTCCAACATTGATTTAGCATTAGCGCGCAGGTCGTTTTCTAAGCGGCCGAACTATAGTGATTGATACGGTTAGTGAGGAGTTGTTAGAAAAAGCAAATGACATCGTGAGGAGAATTAAACCAAGGAAACCAAGGTCCTGTTGGGAAAGAAAATGGATCAGTAGAAGAATGCCCGATGACTTGCTCTTCTGGATTTTCATAAACTCATTTATAATATTAAGTTTGATAATAAATACAGTACTTTGTTTTATTGGTAATTTATTATTTAACTGCATTTACAGACTAGTTTTGTTCAAGAAAAAGCTCTAGGCCAGGATTTTGAATTGTAAAAAAAGGAGGATAGCTATCTGTTGTGTTCGTGGGCTAAACGGACTTTGGAAGTGGACTAAATAAATACGAGAGTTACATGTTTATGAACATCGTCAATGTGTTTATATCATCATCGTCGTCATCCACGATTGTGGCAAAATCATCTCCCGCGGCCACGGAAACGTCATCGTTGACGGCAATATCGGTAAATCTTCGGCATTATCGGTACTGGAGGTATTGGTACCAACATTTCACAATCTGTTCTCGGTTCCAGTTCTTTTGCCAAGAAGAACCGAGATTTGACATGAAGTACCGACCTATCACTAATTTATATATAAACTTATTCATACTTTGAACATTTTCTTCTCATTCCTAGCGGCCATGTCCCCAAAAGCTCCGTTGTCCATTTTAGTTCAGATTTTTTGCTATGTGTTCTGCTAATAAAGACCTTTTATTTGACAAGCATATCAACATCAACCTAAAAAGTGTGATGTTGATCATGATTACGTTTAAGATTTTTCTTTTGACTCCTAACACACATTATTTTTTATTTATTGCTTTATTAAAAACATTGAAACTTGCTCCGCTCAACTGGCTTTCATTGCTATGAAAGCAATCCTATAGCAATAGCATTGAAATAAATCATGCATATACTTTGAGGTAAAAATAGTATACTTCTATTTCATCACTAGGGCGTAAAGTGATTCTTTTCGACCCGAGCTTAAGTTTCATTTGGAAAATGAGGGAGGGTTGAAAAGGCACGTTTTGCCCAAGTGATGAACTATATTTTTTGTCACATTGCATCATTAATGTATCATTAATGCATCAACTAAGCTAGAAAACAAAAATACTTTTCATGTAAAGATAACCTGTCAAAACCAGCTTGTTTCCCATTCTGCTAATGTCAATAAGCAGCTTGTTTCCCATTCTGTTAATGCCAATAAGCAGCTTGTTTCCCAATCTGCTAATGTCAATAAGCAGCTTGTTTCCCATTCTGCTAATGTCAATAAGCAGCTTGTTTCCCATTCTGCTAATGTCAATAAGCAGCTTGTTTCCCATTCTGCTAATGTCAATAAGCAGCTTGTTTCCCATTCTGCTAATGTCAATAAGCAGCTTGTTTCCCATTCTGCTAATGTCAATAAGCAGCTTGTTTCCCATTCTGCTAATGTCAATAAGCAGCTTGTTTCCCATTCTGCTAATGTCAATAAGCAGCTTGTTTCCCATTCTGCTAATGTCAATAAGCAGCTTGTTTCCCATTCTGCTAATGTCAATAAGCAGCTTGTTTCCCATCCTGCTAATGTCAATAAGCAGCTTTTTAGTAAGTGAAGTGATTCAATAATTTGGTTTATTTCGATTGTGTTACTGTATGTGCATTATAACAATGATACGTTGAACTATTGACAAGAATGCAACAATAAGCTAAAACCTAACCTAATAAATCATTTGATTAATAATTTTGATCCATGTGATTGCTTACAATAGAAATTTACAACAGCTGACTTTTACTTCATAGAGACTAAAACTGCTACTATAGACACGCACCAAAACAGTCTGTCTAACATACTCCAGACATTAAAACGGCTGTTTTTCTTTTACTCCAAGGTTAGTCAATATTAGAAGTTCAAATTTTTGAAGCTCAAAGTCAGTGATAATTTTAATTTGTTAATAGCTTAAATGTCTTATGTATTAAATGTTTGTTATTTTTTCAGGGAAATTTAGATTTGACAGGAATTTGTCAGCCTATGGACCAATACACACAGCCTGACTGTAAATCTGACTTTAAAATCAGCTGCCCTTTAATCAGCATTAAACTGAGGTATGTGCCTTTACATGTTGTTGTTATTTCGTCACCAGCATGGCAACCCATAAGAACAATCTTGGGGTTTTTTTAAATTTTAAATTCATTGTTTTTTTTCTTATTTTTGAGCCTATTTTAATTTATAAAGGGATTCTGCGCATCTAGAAAATATCTTTCTAACAGTATGTGTAAATTTTACCTACACACGAGCTGAGAAAAATAAAAAGGTTTTAAAGAAACTTGCCTAAAGTTTTCTTGCCTATTAATATATAGACTAGAGGTAGTCCAGTGGTCGAAAACTCTACCAAAAATATGTAAAGTACAGACTTCTCTATTTTCACTCCACACTGTAAATAAAACATATGATTGGAATTTCTTTAATTTGTTTTGATCAGGGTGTCTACCAACCGGGAAATCCGGGAAAACCGGGAATTGTACTTAAATTTTTACTGGCCATGAAATGTACGGGAATGGTCCTTAAATGCCAGACTATGTCCTTAAATTTTTAATGGGCCATAATTTTATTGATCGCTAGTTGGTTAGGAGCACATAAAAGGTTTATCAGATGTTTGTTTACATTTTCATAATTTATTACTAGAGTAATTATGCAATAAAAATCCCATTAACAATCTCAAACCCATTAATATTTTATCACGACAATCATGTGTCAAGTCAAGTACTTCCAAGAACTGTTGACTCAGCAGCTAGCTCATAAAAGTTGTATCACTTTTATTCCTTTACAACTTCTTTTTTTATTACTAGGGTAATTATTATTAGATCCCAAACCTATTTTATCGTGAAAATAATAGCTTTATAATGGCTGTTAAATTTCACTTCTTACTTGTACTTTTGGCTTGAAGATTCAATTTGCCGCGGCCAGTGCCTAGTGCCATAAAACTGTTTATGGTTTCATATTAAACATGTAAATAATCTACAGTCTTATTTTGTAAGTTAACCCCTTTTTTATGGACATTTTATCTTTCAATTGACAAAACCACAAGCATTGTTGTTTGCATTAATGTTTTATCACTATGTAGGCCTGCTTGGTTTCAAATTATGTCATTGCATTTTCTGTATCTTTGTCTTATATTGTTGGCTATTCAGGTTTCAATGTTTTTTGTTTCCCATATATTTATTTATTGAGTTGTATGCTTTAAGCAATCTAAATCTTATGAACTAGAATGATGATAGTGACTTTGCTGCTATTATAACCTCATTGTTTGTTACTCAGTTTATATAGGCCCTCCTAATTAGGTCTAGGCCTGGGTATTTTGATTCTTGAAAGAGCTGTAAAATATATTAAGAAAATGTAATTGAGCCTAAGATAAACAACTAATGATTGCTATGTGTCGATATTAACTTTGCAAATGAAAATACAATAATCTTACTCTGTGCTTATTGCTTATTAATAGCCGCTTACCATACCTTGATTTTGTACTAAGAATTGAGTAACAATATGCATTAAAGATTTTTTTTTCAAAAGTAGTCTAGAACCTAACATTGTGCCAGGGCGAATCATGCCAAATTAATCGGCCTGGATCGGATAAGGTATGTTATGAAGTTTACGTGACCGATGGAGATATTTGTCGCTATCGCAGGAGACAATGATTGCGTTTCTCTGTTACACTATAAAAGCTTTACCTAAAGTATAGGTAGGCCTATGTTTGTTTACTTTCAATAAATTTCTATTTTGAAATTTTTAACTCTTATCTATTATTATTTACTTTTCTCTCTGGTACAACTACAGTGAATAACAAGATTAATACAGTTTGACAAATCAGGAAAATTATTCGGTAGGCCTAATGACACCGACAAAGGTTACGGCAAAGTGTCCTTAAATGTACGGGAATTGTCCATGAATTTTTTATCCAGAATGTAGTAGACACCCTGTTTGATTTTCTGTTTATATTTCGTTGCAATTTCGTCACCAGCATAGCAACCAACAAGGTCCATGTTAATTTGTTTTTAAATTTTAAATTCATTTTTTGTGTTTATTTTTGAGCCTATTTTAATTTATAAAGGGATTCTGCACATCTACAGGAAAATATTTTTCTAACAATATGCGTAGATTTTCCCTGTGATGTACAAGAGCTGAGAAAAAAGGTTTTAATGAAACATGCGTGCCTATAAAATATAGATAACATCAAGCTTAACCTATACCAAAGAAAACATACTACTATTAAACCCAGAATGCTAAACGTGTGTTTAACACGTGGTTAGAATTCTGGGTAATAGTAGTATGTTTTCTGTGCCTATACTCAATTCCACATTGAACAAGCAGTATGCTATTAAATTACTGGATACATCATGCGTAATGTCATGTAGGTTGCGTCAACTGTCCTTGCAACCCTCTTAAGGCACTAAAGAAGATTTGACATGTATCACTTTTAGGTAACTTTATGCTTTTAATAAATTGTTATTTATGTTTAATCATTTGGATTTTTACTCTAATATAGTATGAGTATTCTAGTAGTAAAAAAGCGTAATACAAAATAAAAAACATGAGGAGTGTTTACCAGGTCCTAATGTTTTTAGGACCCCTAGTGTCACTGAAACTGCCACTTGAAGATTGATTAAATTGATAATAAGACTTTTGTTTATGAAATCAAGAGAATTTGCTTTGTTTATTTTTCAAAGTTGATACGTTGCTACAATAATTATATTTTTGACAAAAAAATGTCCTCTCTTTTGATGATGTAGGTTTCCTATCCCGGACTTGCGACCCCTGTATGATATGGACCGTCCGCCCTGGTGGAAGCGAAATGTTCGCAAAGACATTCTTTTTGCTGACTTTGAACATCTGGTCTTCTTCACCTCGGTGGACTCGTCTGAAACAAGCTCAAGCTACGAAGTCAAGTGCAAGGCCCTCAATGTGCTCTTTCAGGTTAGCTTTTCTCACAAAACATCTGATCAGAATAAAAATTCAGGGTTGGTACGGTCAGGGAAAACCTGGAAAAGTCAGGGAATTTGGTTGGTCTGGAAAAGTTAGGGAATTATGAAAAAATTCTTGAATTTCTCCTGAAAGACTATGACAACATTTCGGATTGAGAGGTACTGACGGTTCGGTAGCGGATGGACAACTGACCATGAGGTCTGCTCTTCTGGTCCTTCTTCGCCATTGCCCCTGGCGGCGGGGTAGGTAACTAGCGTCCTCCCCTCTACGATGACGTCGGACCCCTGCCCCTACGATGCCGCTGACAACGCGGGCGCGGCTTACCCCGAACATAGAAAATTGTTATATCATAAAATGAAACTTATAAAAATCAGGTTTTTACCCCTTGACGGATTTTGGGTCGTTACAAGACTACTATTTTACAGATAAGGTACATTCTGCACCTAAACATGTGTTATGAATTACTGTTTTTAGTAATCAGCTGAAGTATTAATTTACTTGTTGTTTGTATTAAAGATTTGTTTACCTTGACAACTATGTAACAAATTAAGTTTATTAAAGCCTTATTTTCTAAAAAGGTTCAGTTATTCACAACAAATTTAATAAACTTAAATTTATTAAGATAATTAAATAATCAAAATCAAAATGGAAAAACTTTTAAAACCAGAAAGGTTTGATATTAAAGGCCTGGTTCCACAGGATGCGGAATCTCCGCCGTGCGGTGCGATTTTTTCCGCTGCGGAATTAAAACGACACTGGTTTAATGGAGTTCCCATGTGTGCGGTTCCACTGACTTGCCATTCCGCATCCCGAAATTTCCGTTCCGCATGGCGGAGAAATCATACTGGTCTGAGAGCAGTAGCAATGCGGATTCCGCCAGCGGAGAAGAGCCATCAAATATTGTGACCGTCAGTTTCATTATGTCTTGTGCTGTAAAAAGAGTTATGGATGAACGTTTTTCTTCGACCAAAGAGGAAGAACTTGTCGAGTTGGTGTCTCAACATGATGTGGAAATCGCATGTCAGTGGATTTCTGAGAAATTAGCGAAGACGTATGCACACAATCACACCAGAATACATTCAATGATAAAAGTAATGTTTTTTTTAGGTCACGTTTACCTATACACAACATTTGAGCCAATTATAAAGTAATACCTATAATCGCAACACCGACTTTCAACAAACTAACTGCTTAAATAAATCATTATAATACATTTAACTTAACATAAACTGTCGAAAATGGTAGACCTGACGAACAAGTATCCTGAGACGTTTGGGTATCAAGTGTTGAACGGGATCTGATCGTGATTGGAACCCCTTAAGTTTCGTTAAATAAATAGCAAAAATATTAAGTATTGGTACAAACCCTAGTGTAACCGCTAGTTTCATCTCGGCATTCAATGGTTGTTTGTCTCGATTAGTAGCGTTGGTGGGTAAGTCATCTTTGATGAGATCAACCAAAAAGAAAAATTGGTCTTTTGACACACGGAAGTACTTAGTTTCGTTGTAAACTAAATTATTACGAACCAGAATGTTATACGCCCCTTCACTGTCCCGATTCTTAAATATGTCACTTCGGTCACTGCGACTTGACACTAACAAGGATAAAAGATCGACAACATCATCATCAATGTCATCATATAGCATCAAAGCCAAAAGGGCTTTCCTCTTTCTATTCATACTCGTCGCTAGTTTGGACAGAACTGAATCTCCGCAACGTTATTTTCGCAGTCTGTAGAACCACCCCTCTGATTTTCCGCTGCGTAATTTTCCGCTGCGAAAAATTACGCACCGCATGGCGGAGATTCCGCATCCTGTGGAACCATAGCTTAATCCTGAAAATTCTTCTGCAAGTAGAGCATTCAAACACTGGTTCAGGACACTTGAAAATTTCATATCTGACTCAGCAGTTACTGAAGAGAGGAAACTTAACGTGTTGATTAATTTTCTTTCTTACAATGTCTACGAGTATATTTCTGAATGTTCCACGTTTAAGTCAGCAGTTGAAATTTTGAAAACTATTTATAATCCTAAGAAGAATGAAATTTATGCTCGACACATGCTAGCAAACCGCAAGCAGAAGAAAGAAGAAAACATAGACAAGTATCTACAAGAACTTAAACTTCTAAGTAAGGATTGCAATTTTCGTCCCATAGATGGAAATACTTATCGAGATGAAGCCGTTGGAGATGCCTTTATAAGTGGAATTATGAACCCCCACTAAGACTAAGACTACTAGAAAACCCGTCCTTGACATTAAAAGAAGCTGAGGACATTTCACGTTCACTTGAGTCTGCACAGAAGAGCTGTGAAGCATATGGATCTTCAAACCAAATTGAAGTCACATATTGCAACACTTCATCAACACTACCAGATCAACTGGATGAAAATATAGATCCTGAAGAGTCTCCTACTTCAGCTTCTGTAGCAAAAAACTTTAAACAGAAGTGTTTCTACTGCGGTGGCCGGCGTCATTTTACTCGAAACGACTGTCCTGCCAAAGATGCTACTTGCTCTGGTTGTAAGAAAAGGGGACATTTTGTGAAGGTATGCAGGTTGATGAAAACTCAAGGTAAGACATTTAATGCCTCTTCTTTGGCAGCTGCCTCCAATGGACTGTCAAAAGCAGTTGTGCGGGGTTATGCAAATAAAATACCTGTTGAAGTTTTGGTTGATACTGGAAGTACGGATAGTTTTATAAACCGAGCTGTGGTAATTGAAAATGGTTTTCATGTAATTCCAGAACGGAAACAGGTATCTATGGCTTCCACAAACCTAAAGTCACCCATCAAAGGTTATGTTAATGTGAACTTAGAGTTCTCTGACCATAACTATGAGAGAGTACAACTGTTTGTTATTGACAATCTGTGCACTGACATATTGGTTGGTCATGATATAATGAAACTGCATTCTTCAGTGAACCTAGATTTTGGAGGGGATAAGTTACCTCTGTCCATTTGTAATGTTGCCTGTGCTTCTGTGGAACCACCATGCCTTTTTCATAATCTATCACCTGACTGCAAGCCCATTGCAACTAAGTCTCGTAGGTATTCTAATGATGATGAAAAGTTCATCAACTCTGAAGTGCAAAAACTCCTTCAAAGTGGTATAATTGAAGAAAGTTCATCTCCCTGGCGTGCTTGTTACCAAAAGCTCATCTCATAAAAAGCGATTAGTAATAGATTATAGTCAAACTATAAATAAGTTTACCCTATTAGATGCCTACCCCTTGCCTAATATTGAAAACATAGCTAGTAAAATAGCAGTACTATAGATTTAAAGGAGGCTTACCATCAAATACCAATATCGGAACATGAAAAATGCTTCACAGCATTTGAGGCAGCAGGAAAACTTTATCAGTTCTGTAGGGTTCCATTTGGTTTGCCAAATGGTGTGTCTGCTTTTCAGCGCACGATTGATAAGATTATTTCCACTGAAGAACTAGAAGGGGTGTGGGCTTTCATTGATGACATAACCGTAGCCGGAAAAACTCAGTCAGAACATGATGAAAGGCTGAATAAATTCTTAAAGGTTGCTAAGAAATATAATATTACTCTAAACAATGAGAAGAGCAAATTTTCTCAAGACATAATATCAATCCTAGGATATCAAATTCGCTACCAGTCTAAGCAAGCAGATCCAGAGCGTCTGAAACCCTTGTTAGATTTGCCATTGCCAGTTAATGCATCTCAATTAAAACGTGCATTAGGAATATTTTCTCACTACTCAAAGTGGGTTCCCAAGTTCTCAAACAAGATTCGGCCTCTGATTGATTGCAAATCTTTTCCTATATTACCCTCATCTTTGCCAGCTTTGGCTTTTCAGGAAATTAAACAAGACATAGGAAAATCAATACTTACCGTGATTGATGATCTTTCTCCATTAGTTGGGGAAACAGATGCATCTGACTTTGCTATCGCTGCCACCTTAAGTCAAAAGGGTAGACCTGTCGCTTTCTTTTCAAAAACATTGACCGATTGTGAATAACGTCATTCCTCTATTGAGAAGGAAGCCCTAGCCATAGTCGAATCTCTAAAGAAGTGGAGACATTTCCTCATTGGGCGACATTTTCTATTAATCACCGATCAACAGGCTTTGTCGTTTGTGTTCAACAGTCGGCATACTAGTAAAATAAAGAATGAGAAAATCACTAGATGGCGTCTTGAGTTGTCACCTTATTCTTTTGACATACAGTACAGACCAGGCAAAGAAAACGTCACCGCAGATGCATTTTCACGCGTTTGTGGAGCTGTCACAAACATAAATTGTGATGACAAGCTTTTTGCACTTCACCAGTCACTCTGCCACTCTGGTATCACTAGGATGTACCACTGGGTAAAAAGTAAAAACCTCCCTTACTCAGTTGAGGATGTTAAAACAATGACAAACAAATGCCCAATGTGTGCAGAGATTAAACCTCGTTTCTACAAAACTACAAATGCTCACCTTATCAAGGCCACAAAACCTTTTGAGCGACTAAATGTAGATTTTAAGGGTCCTTTGCCATCTTGCACACGTAATCGATATCTATTGACTATAATCGATGAATATTCACGCTTCCCTTTTGCATATCCCTGCAGTGATATGTCCTCAAGCACAGTAGTTCGCTGTTTAGAAAATCTATTTTCAATATTTGGAATGCCAAACTACATTCATTCAGACAGAGGGACATCTTTTCTTTCAAAAGAACTCAGAGACTACCTTCATGAAAGAGGGATAGCCACTAGTCAAACGACTCCATATAATCCGGCAGGGAATGGCCAAGTTGAAAAGTTCAATGGAACATTGTGGAAAGCAATCTTATTAGCTCTGAAGTCCAGGTCACTAAAGGTAGAACAATGGGAAGTTGTACTCAATGATGCATTGCACTCCATAAGATCTCTTTTGTGCACTTCGACTAACAGTACGCCACATGAAAGGTTTTTCATTCATCCTCAACTGTATCCCTCAAGCACCTTTCTCCAAAGGGGGATGTAAGTCTACTAGAAGACCAAGTCCTTCCAACGCTAAAAGAAAATCCTCAACTGGTGACAGATTAATCACAACCACATGTCATTCCAGAGCCGAGCATTAATCCAGATCCAAATGTCAATCCAGAACAGAATGTCACTCCATTTGATATCCAAGACCATGAGTATCAACCAAATGATGATTATCAACCGAACTTCATTCCTGAACAAGACTCTGAAGAAAACCAACCTCTAGAAAGGCCGAAAAGATCAAGAAAACCACCAAGTTACCTCGCTGATTACATTGTTTAAATTTTGAGGGGGAGAATGTTATGAATTACTGTTTTTAGTAATCAGCTGAAGTATTTATTTACTTGTTGTTTGTATTAGAGATTTGTTTACCTTGACAACTATGTAACAATTTAAGTTTATTAAAGCCTTATTTTCTAAAAAGGTTCAGTTATTCACAACAACATGTTTTTACCAGGGTGATGACTAATGGCAAAAAGAACAACATAAGCACTCATGCACATTTTTATATTGATAGTTATTTATCGATACGGGGGAGGAATCGATATGTACATAGTTTGAAACAAGTTTTATATTTGGGATTGATTAAGCAAGTTAAATATTTAAATTTTTCTAATATTTCTTGATTTTGATTGGTTTTAATCGACTTGCGGTATACCTGGAAAAAGTATAATATCAGTCTGGAAAACCTGGAAAAGTCAGGGAATTTTGTTTCCCACATTTAGTACCAACCCTGAAATTGTTCCCTTATGTCAGTGAGATAATAGTCAATAACTTATCTCTTTTGTATGAACATAGATTAACTACCTTTCCAAGCCTTTTTTTACAAATGAATTTTGTTCTTTTTCATTGGTATGTGTTACAGGAGGGAGACACTGATAATAAAGTGCCTATTGCTTATGCTCAAACAGAAGAAAAGACCAGCCTTTCCAATGAAAACTTGCTCAGGTATTGTATGATTGGGAAAAGATTATTTATCACTGTACCTGTGCTTTGCAACAAAAAGGATCCTGAAGAGAACTTTTACTATCTTTAAATCTGTGTTTAAAAAAGCTACACACCCCCCTTTGGATTCAGAAACAATATTCAATTGGACCTCGTAGTTTGAATAAATATCTTTCTTTTAAGCTAGGTTAACTTATAAGGCTACTTAGTACAAATAATATGAGGCGCTGATGCATTTACAAAAATAATTTACCAACACGATTTGATTTTCAGATGAAACACTCAATTACACGTTTATTTACTTGAAAAACTATTTCACATAAAATTAATATGTTTACCGTAACCATTAAACTTTTGTAAGGAATTTTTACTTGGAGCTAAAACAATCAGAGTACATTAAACATCAACAGGTACATCTGTTTGAGGTTATGTGTTGAATTATGTAAACTATATCACAGTAAGCAAAATTAAAATAATGAAACATTTTATTTCCTTTTGTTAAACAAATTTACCCCCATTATTTGTTGATCAGGGCACAAATTTCATCAATGTAAATAATACATCAACATAACAACAACAATAGGACATAACCTAGGCCAAAATCTAAAATTTAATATTTGAAAATTTTAATTAGTTTCTGCTTTTTGAACTGTCAAATTGAAGTATTTACAGCTGACTTCAAATAATATTTCACAATTTACATTCTTCCAAAATGAAAACATGAAACTTTGAAAGCATAGCCCAATGTAAATTAGAAAACAGGATTAGGCCTAAATGTTAACCACGTATATAATCAACTTCCATACGGAATTCTATTTAAATCGGTTCAGTGGTTCTGGCATCCTTTAGAAGACAGACACTCACACAAACACACACACACACACACACACATACGGGGTTTTACCGAATACTCGCAAACACCTAATTGTGGCATCTTTCAACCTGCGGCCACCAGTGGATGAAGGAAGGTGGTAGAAACATGTCTGCATCGATATTTTTAATGAACACTCCATTTTAACATCTAACATTCCAGTTTTTAAATTGTGGCACCATGCCACAAATCGGTATATATCAACAGTGTGTGGACAGGATGCCACTAATGCGTTGTAGTGCTTGAGCGGTGTGTGCGCCCCCCCTACTTCTCGCGTGCGCTGTTGCCAGTTCTCCGTTCTAGTTCCTTCATTCCGTTCTGTATTCATGTGGCTATGCCCTAGCCGCTGTAGCTCATTTCCCGCGCTCATGACGTCATCTTTTATTAGTGTAAGGATTTTATATGAAGTTTTTTTCAAAGCTCCAATAATTTTTACAATTATTGGATTTAAAGTCAATGGACCAAATGAAATGTCGTGAGGATTACATAAAACTACATGCTATTTTGTTGATATTTTATCGTCACATTGTATGTATGGTTTACGAACTGAGATACTTGGAATAAAGGCCTTAATGTGCTGGGTAAATTATCAGTTTCATGGGAATCTATATATTAATTACGTAAGCCGATTCTTTGCGTCAAAATTGTGGGCGACTGGGAAGTCGTAGAACGACGTGAGAGGGCTCAAATTAAAGGTCTTTATCCCGTGACGGCGGGAAAAATAGTTAAATTCCCAAAATCTTAACACAAAATTAGATATAACGTACAATGTTCTCCATAAGAATAGCATTAGAAGGCATTTACTGCAGATTTTTGTTTACTTCAATCCAGCTGATCGTGATAGACTGAGCCAATTCCCGTTTGCCTGATTATAATTTCACTAAAATATGTTAGAAAATTGCCCTATTAACATGTTTGGAACTATTGTGATAGGTTTTCGTTTACAGTGCATACCATTAAACTAGGGGTCTGCGGTGCACCGAAAAAGTCGGTACGCTACGGTACAAGCTTAATTACCGTCATCGGTTCGGTACAGCATTTTACACGGTACAAATTCGGTTCGGTACAGCCTATTATAATAATAAATTACTTTCAGTTTACAATCGTAGTCACCGGCAGTTGGTTCCGAGCACATAAAAGTCTTATCAGATGTTTGTTTACGATCTTCATAATTTATTACTAGCGTGATGATGCAATAAAAAACCCATTAGCAGTCCCAAATCCATTAACATTTTATCACGACAATAATTGTTGTATTGAAGTACTTCCAAGAACTGTTGAGTTTTATCACTTTTAATTCTTTACGACTTTCCCCAATTCTGTTTTATCATAAAAATAATAGTTTTATGATGACTGTTAAATGTTATCTCTAACTTAATCAGTATTTTCGTGAATATTGAATTTGCCGCTGGCCATTGCCTACTGCCATAAAACTGTTTATGGCTACATATTAAACTTGTAACTAATCTACAATCTTATTTTATGAAATATTTGCTATGGATATTTTATCTTTCTATTGACGAAACCACAAGCATAGTTGCAATAGTTTTTTTTTACAGTACTGTTTCAAAGTAGAAAAATCTAGCCTACTACTGTGATGTTACGTAAACAATAGATTTAATGTTTCCCGAAAAAAAGTCGGAATAGAAACAATAGAAAGGCAACACAATAGAAGGGTGGGAGGGGTTGGGCAATGACCTCGAAAGGAGCGCGGGTAGTGAGTCAAGTATGACCGGAGGGGGAAGGGGTGGGTAAGACCTTGAAGCTATATATAGACTTGCACTACTTCCCTAAACCTAAAGGACTGGCCGGCGAGTGGTATTCCAATCACAGGACAAGATACGTTGTTTTCTGGGTATTCATTGCCCGGTTTGACTTTGGATTGTCTTACTGTGTAGAAACTTTGAGTAATAACGAATAAAGTTAGAACTAACCACGATTATTTACCATTGATTGTGTACATATTAAATGATTAAACGATAGGGACCATGGATATATACAAACTTTTGTCGTGATTTTAATTTCAACATCAAAATACAATATTGCACAATCGTGATATTTTAGGCCATTGACCTTTATTATGCATCCGGTATTGCTGTTTCAGAAGAGAAGCACGTTGATAAATTATAAATTGATATTCCCGTAGTTAAAAAGAATTATTTTATAAACCTATAAAACAAAATCATAAAATCTTACATAAAGATAACAATAACGGAAATTGTAAAAAGGGTATAAAGATAACAACGTCTTCTTTCTCTTTGTTCTTCTATTTCTTGGGTTTCCCTTCATCACGCATTCAACAAGTTGCCATGGTTACTAATCACCCATGTCGTTATCAGCTTTTGTGACATAGCGCACAGCAGGGGGTAAAACTTGACAAAATCGGTAAATTTTTACCTATTATTTAATTACCAATGAATGTACTACTTTATTGGTATTTGGTATTGTATTAATAATCGGTCCAAATGGCATATTTTTGTCAAATTTTACACCAAATTTATTGAAATTTCAAGGTGAATATTAATAAAACAATTATTACCAAATATTTGTATTCATTTAAAAGATTGATTTGTGGTATTGGGTTCCCCACTGAGTGCAGCCGAGCGGCACTAATGAGGGTCGGACCTTCTTGGGGGTGAACAATAGACGGCTTATCAGACCCTCCCCTCCCCCGTGGTCTGGAGAAAGCTTGTAAACAAACTATTGCACAAGCGTGACTTGACATTGAGCTGCTTCAACTATAATTTTGTCAAATGAACTGTGATGTTTCAAAATCAAAAACAATAATTTGGGACCATACTGCTTAACAATAATGAACTGCAATTATTGTTGAACATACAATTCATTTTTAACAAACTAAGATTATACAATTCAAATACAATTATAAAAATTATCTTGGTATTTTACTTGGGGTAATGAAGTTATGTAGGCTAGTGTAATTCTCGGTTCATCAAGGTTCTACTGAATTATGTTTGGCAGTGAATAAGTGTAGAATGCAATTTATAAATTCAGGGATACACACCTTTTACACAGTTATAAAGTCTAATTGCCCAACATCAAATCTTACTCTGTGATAATCCAAATTTTAGTTTCAGAAAAAAACTTTGCAAGAATTGTATCCATCTTATAACTTAACTAGTTTTGAAGCTGATAAAAAAAATGGTCTTTGGCCATTACTTCATCATAACCTCCAGTTTTTCATTGTCATCTGCTGTGAACAGCTGGCAAAACTACACTGTCTTCTACTGAATGCTTTTATATGTTTTTAAAATTAAAAAAAAAACAACTAGACATTGTGTTGGTTGGAAATAATTTACCAGTTTTGTGAAATTATCTTGTCAATAAATGTTTCAAACATGTTTATTCATAAAAACTCTTATCCTATTTTTAAACTACTTTATCATGGCTATTCAAAGTATCTCAGAGTAAAATAGGTAAAGCCTTTATCTCAACTGTGATTTTTCTTAAAACAGTCCTCGTAGTAAAAGGTTTTGTTTTAATAATATGTGGTACAGTAATTGTTGTTAGAAAACCATGAATGTAGGATACTATCCATTTTCATAGTAATGTCTATGTATTAAAGTTAAAAATAATGGTTTAGATACAGTTCTGAGAAGAAAACCGCAAAAATACGGGTAGCCGCGTACCGTACCGATTTTGTACCGAGAACCGAGGTACAAAATATTGTACCGTACCGACCTTAAATTTTCTGTACCGCAGACCCCTACATTAAACACATTCTTTTATTATAGGTATATGTGTGCCACACTATAGGATACCGTATAAATTAAAAGACCATATTTTCTTAGACCGTTTCCTCTCCCATCACTGCAATGATCATGTTCTACTTATATGCCATCCCCGTACGAAGGTCGGGTATTCTACTAGTTATTAATAAAGTTGAGAATACTAAAGGTTCTACAAAACAAAACATTGAATAATAAAAATACATTTGTATGAAAGTAACAGATAGATTGACAAAATTGTAAAACGATCGTATAATATCTAACAATATCAAATTATTTACAGTATCATGGTTACAACTTTTAAACTACTTTTGTTATGACTCAATGTTAACCTCTTTAGGACCTTTCATTTTATGCTTTTGTTAGTGGGGACTGGTTAAAACACCACAGTAGGTTTTACAAATATGATTGTGAGATGATATTATAATCTGAACTAGATTATGTGTGTTGATAATAATACGTATTTTAATTTAAGTACTTTAATTGATTCGGTTATATGTTTACCTCATATAACATTTGAACATGGATTGAAACATTAGATGTCTTTGGAATACTCTGAGAGTGAGAAGCAAAACATAACTTTCAGCAATGATGCATCGAAATCTACCTTTACTGACTGATTCAGAAATGTAATTGCAAAATATTTTGTCAACATGACTAAAATGTTAAAAAAAATAGATGTATCAGCACGAAATAGTTTGTAAGATAATAAAATCAGTCTAGGACAACTTATATAGCGTTCTAACCTCAAACATTGTTATCGTTTCAGTGTACAAATTCAATTGATACAAAATAACTACGTTACCAATTTATGTTTGTAAACAAAAATCAATTTTTTAATGGTTGCGTAATAGCTATTTACATTACAAGTGTAGTAAGAGCGTTTTTACTTCACGCAGGTGAATGTTGTGCAACGAGCGGAAGCGAGTTGCATAATTCACCTAAGTGATGTAAACAGCACGCTCTTGCGTAACGTGTAACGTACAAGATTTTACCTGACCCGACAATAAACATGGGTTTACGTACAATATTTTTCATCATCCATTTCACTCATCTTCTATCAGTAACGTTCTTTTACTAACAAAAGCTAGGTTAGGTAGGAAAATACTTTAAAGCATAATAATAACATTCAAGCGCACAGCTGATTTCTAGCGTTGAACATCGTTGGCTCCATAGAGTTATATTTTTTAAGTTAAGCACTCAATGTTATTTAAATGGGTTTCTTTACATCACCGAGTGAGTTTTTGATACTTTACATCACTCGAGAAGTAAGGAAGTTGTATACATCACGCTTGGGATAGGAAAGTTTAAAATGGCGGGTTAGGTAAATCAATTTAAATTATTATTAACTACACAAATTATTAGTAATGTAAAACATTGTTCACCACTCGGAGCAAAAGTATATTATTTATGGTACTTAAATTGTTTTATAGTACGTGGCAGTATAGTATTATTAGTTTATTAGTTGCTTGTTGCACTGTTCTACACACTGCTCAAGCTCTACAGCTCATTAAGTGGCATCCTGTCCACACACTGTTGATATATACTGAATTGTGGCATGGTGCCACTATTTCGAGTGTAGGCTGGCGCGAGAATTGGCAACGTAGCATTAGGAAAGTTATAGTTCCGGCGGACGGCGCGAGGCGCGCTAGCTACCTGTATGGTTTCGTGTTCCACAATTCGGTGTGTACCTGCGCTACTTAAACTCACATCAACGAGTTCAAAAATACTCAATTGTGGCATGTGATGTTTAAACGACGTAATAATGCTGGAAAACCTCAAAAATGATCGAATTAGCTGTGGCACCCTGAAAAAGGTGCCACAATTTTTGAAGGTGCCACAGTACGGCCGTGTGCCTGTGAAGGATGCCACTATTCGGTGAATACAAACACACACACCCACACACACACACACACACACTTAGGGGTCTTTGCCAAATACTCGCAAACACCAAATTGTGGCATCTTTCAAACTGCGGCCACCAGTGGATGAAGGAATGTGGCAAAACCTTGTGTACATTGATATTTCTAATGAACTCTCCATTTTGATTTTAACATCAAACACTCCAGTTTTTAATAACGGCACCATGCCACAATTTGGTATATATCAACAGTGTGTGGACAGGATATGCCACTAATGTGTTGTAGCGCTTGAGCAGTGTGTTTGTCCCCCCTACTTCTCGTGTGCGCTGTTGCCAGTTCTCCGTTCTACAGTAGTTCCTCTGTCTTCATGTGCCTATGCCCTAGCTCGTTGCTCATCACTTTGTCTTTCTTACTTTATTTTTATTTGTTAACATATTTTACCATACCGGCATAATAATTGTACCATACCAACAGTTTTGGCAATTGGATTTAAAGTCAATGAACCGAGTAAAATTTCAGGAGGATTAAATAAAACTGTAGGATATGTCATAGATAATAATATTGTAGTCTATGCCGTCAATATCTTCAACTTGATTGCTAGGAAACAAAAAAAAAACTTGAAAGTAAGTACAAAATGAAACTAAAAGCTCTACAAACATATTGAATTGAAATTAGGGAATTAATAACTTCTTGATGATTTAAATATCAATTTAATTTTAAAAATTTGTTGCTAACAAAAAAAACATTTTTGGAAGCACCCACTTGTTATAGCATTTTTGGAATATTATATATATCAAGCTAATAAGGGTTATGAACTTTTGAGAAAACCGTAAGCCGTATACTTATCAACCACATACTTGAAAGGCCTTCATGTGCCCAGTAAAATATCAGATTTTCGAAAAACTCTCTCCTAAGGACACAGACCTTGATTAAGGTATTTGGCAACACTGACTCAACAACTCACTGGCTACCATTTTGGACATGTAGAAAACTCTCTCTCTTCCTTAGTTGAAAATGCTGTCAGTGACAGTGAAATATTCTAATGTTTTGTGTATATAGTGTAAAGTTTTGTGTTTTGTGTAAAGCCTGCTATCCTCTCGCCGTTGTGCTCTATGTTACACCTTGATCTCTTATAGGTTTGTGTTGAGAGTGAACCCAGCTATGGACATGGCAGGGCTGGAGGAGGACATGAGCCCTGAGCTGCCCAACACTGCTGCCAGTATGATGCATTCCATGTACCAGGAGGAACCTTCCCCCTTCAGCTCCAAGAGAGTGGTACATGAGAGTGACACACCACATCAGTGTGAGCCTAACACAGATCAATCTCATCTACTTTCTCTTCCACCTACTGCCTGAGAAAGTATAAGTGTGAAAATATCGGTGTATTGTTTTGTTACCTTTTATTTTGTATCTGTTAGCACCCCGACTAATTTTCTCAGGTAATCTAGCTGAACGCCATCTCTGTAAACAAAAAAATCCAAATAGGAATGATATAGATGATAATGATGATGATAATGAATAATGATTTACTAGACAAACTTTACTTTTTGGTTTTCAGCAAAAAATGTATTAACTAGTCCCTGTTTAAAAATGTAAACAGCTTATTTATGGTTTTAAACTTAAATCTAATGGTTAGGAATTCATAAACCACATACTCACTTATAATTGCTAAAATTTCTAAAAAGTCTGCAGTCAAAATAGCTGTGTACTAGCTTAGATAAAACATACTCCCTTAGTAGATTTCTCATCCTTATGGAACAGCTGAAGACAATTTAATTGTTAGTTCTGTACGGTTTATGTAAAGTTTGTGTTTTGTTTACAGTTTGTTTCCCGTTATTACAGTAATTTAAAACCTCGTTTGGCCAAATAATACGATCTAATCATAAACAATAACTTGTCCCCTAGTTGTATAACCAAACAGTAAAGCACAAATCAATAAATTAACCCTAAAATAATATTATAATAATATCTATGGTTCTTACCGTCAATGCAATCAGGGGTGATATTCCACTACGGCCGTTTCGGAGATGACTCCATCTCCGACAAATTGACTTGTTTGGAAAATACCTGAATAACATACATCCCAGGCTTAAAATCGCAACAGAACACGAGAAAAATTCTTCAATTAACTTTCTTGACTTGACAATAACTAAATCGGACAACAAACACCTTTTTAATATCTACAGGAAACCCACTAGCACAGATACAACCATCCATAACAGTTCTAATTAATCACACCCAATCCCACAAGATGGCAGCTTATAACTCAATGCTACACAGATTGGTTAATATCCCTCTAAACGAAGAGAACTATAGCAGTGAATTAAACACAATAAAGTACATTGCCTTGAATAACGGCTATGTCCAGTCAATCCGTTGTAAAAATCAACCATACGTGGACAAAATTGGCGTCTGAGAAATTTTGTCTGAAATTTATGTTTTTTGGGGCTCTGAATCCGAATCTGAAGTTGTCCAACAAATATTTCTTGAGCGTTCTGAGATATTCGCAAAAAACATCAAAATTTTAGCACTTTTTTCAGTTTTTATATTATAAGTCAAAAACTATGAATTCTAGCGACTTTTACTCCTTACAAAATGAAAGTGGGCAAAATTTCCTTCAAAATGCACTATTCACACTTGAAAATCGATTAGAAATAACCTTCACTAGAACGCATTGAAAATTGGTTATTTTTCTAACTTTAAAAAAATTCAAGCTTTTGATCTGGTTTTTAATATTACTCAGCAAACACCCACCCCCTTCCATCCCATAACTATCTCAACCCCTTATATCTCATCAAACCTCCCCCCCCCCTCAGCATAAAATACCCTACCATACCACACGCTCTCCCCAAACCCAAACCGTTCATTTTACTTATCTTGAACGGATTGTGATAAATAATGTTAGAGAGGTAGGTTTCTATGGTAATGATTACAATTTATTCATAGTTCATATTCACTATATCTACATAACTAATATTATTTTTAAAATGTACACGTATAATCAAGTCATTGAATAGTCATTGAATAGTCATTGAATAGTCATTTATTCAGTCTTTAAACAATACATTATTGTAATTGACATCGTCATTATTATTGTAAAAGATATAAGATACGATACTTATAATTATTAAAATTTGACATGAAAATTCCAAAATATAGGCTGCTCTTATTGAACATTTAACAGGTTTAAAATAATTTTTAAAAAATAGGCAAACTTAACAAACTTAAATTATGAATAATAGTGGGTCTTTCTTAAAAAGGCTAATGGTTATCACAGGTGTACAATGAACATAGAGGGACAAAATTACTAACATTATCACAGATGGAATATGGTAAAAAAAACATATCAAAATAGTGAACATGAAATATATGAAAATCAATTACAGTAATAAAATCCTAGCCTAACTTAAACAAAATTTCTAACATTATCACAGATGGAATATGGTAAAAAACATATCAAAATAGTGAACATGAAAAATATGAAAATTAATTACAGTAATAAAAATCCTAGCCTAACTTAAAAGCATTTAACATTAGCAAAAAATGAGATCACATTCAAAAAATTCCTCAATTTTGTAAAATGGGTGAGATGAAAGCCACATAGTTAATTTTCTTTTAAAGACACTTAACGGCAAGGACTTGACTTGGGGATGAAGCTTATTAAATAATTTAATACCTAAAACAAAATGACTGTTTGCAGTTTTCTGTAGCCTACAGTGAGGTACATCAACTAGACCCCTATTCCTTGTGTTATAACCATGAATGTCTTGGCGCAAATCATACTCGTTTTCCTTTTTCTTAACATTAATCAGACAATGCAGGATAAAAACATTAATGACAGTTAAAATGCCAGTGCCCACAAATAACGGTTTACAATGTGCTCTTCGGCGAGATCTAGTTATGATTCTCACAGCCTTCTTTTGAATTAACAATACATTATTTACATGGGTACTATTTCCCCATAACAAAATACCATAACTTAAAATTGAGTGAAAAAAAGCATAATACACAGACTTTAAATAATTCTGAGGCAGACTAGAGCTAAGACATTTAAGAAGATAAATACACCTAGACAACTTACCACTAATGAAATCAATGTGTTGAGACCAGGTCAAACAGTTGTCAATCACTAAACCTAAAATTTTTATGTCATTTGGTTCATTGTAATCCTCGACTCTATTTCTAGTCTGACAGAGTAAGTGTTGAGTTTTATTCTCATTAATAATCAAACCATTAGCACTAAACCATTGCTTGGCTTCTAAAATAGTATTTTTGGCAATATTAGACAAGACATTTGTATCATTGCTTATACTAAGAAAGGTTGTGTCGTCTGCAAACATTGTAGTTGAAGAAAGGGACACATTGGCAGGTAGGTCATTAATTGATAAAAGGAATAATAAAGGCCCCAAGATAGAACCCTGTGGTACTCCCATTATTACATCCAGACATCTTGAACGATCACCCTTCAACTCTACAAACTGAGATCTTCCATGCAAGTATGATTCAAAAAACTTCAAACATGAACCCCTAATGCCGTAAAAACTTAATTTATCTAATAACACAGAGTGATCTACAAGATCAAATGCCTTGCTCAGATCACAAGCAGTAATCTGAGCAAAGCTACCGTCTTCAAAAGCTTTAATAATTTTGAACAACATCGACTCAATTGCATCTATTGTGGATAACTTTTTACGAAAACCAAATTGAGTCTCGCTAAGAATATTATTACTTGCTAGGAAGAAACACATTTGGTTATAGATAATACGCTCCATAATTTTACCAAACAAAGGAACTAATGATACAGGCCTATAATTACTAACCTCAGATTTCTTGCCTTTTTTGAACACTGGAACTACCCGTGAAATCTTTTGGGATTCAGGAAAAACTCCATCGTTTAGGCAAACATTTACACAGTGAGTGAGTGGTACTACGATTGCACTTATCACAGACTTTAACACCGCGTTTGACACACCATAAGCATCTTTGCTTTTTGACATTTTCAGCTTTGACACCACACTTAACACTTCATCCTGAGAGACAGGCAACCACTGGTTCAACGAGGCTTGCTGATGGTACTCCGTGTTATGAAGTAGGTCGCTAGAAGAGACAGGAGGTGGGATGATGGATGCCTTCGCTGACTGCACTGACTCCAAGAAGAAGTTGTTATGCTGCTCTGCCGAGATCATAGAGTGCACCCTTTCCGCAGTCGAGGTTGTAGACTTACGAATCAGAGACCAGGCAGCCTGACACTTATTACTGGATGATTCAATAAAGTTCATGTTAGCAGACATCTTTGCTTCATTCACTGCATTTTTATAAAGGTTTCGTAGAGCTTTGTAGGCTTTAAAAGATAGTTCAGATTTAGTTGATCTATGTACTGTAAGATAGGCCATAACTCTTTCTCTCATTATCTTTAATTCAGGAGTATACCACTTAAGAACTACTTTTCTCTGATTTTTTGAGTTAAAGGATTTTTTGCGAAGTGTCTTTAAAGGGCAACTTACATTATAAATTTCCATAAAACTATCAAAAAACAATTTAAATGTCCGTTCAGCAGACCCATTACCTTTTGAGAGCACTGGACACCAATCAATATCACATAAATGTGAATTTAAACTGTTCAAACAAGTGCTCAGGTGGGGGCGTTTAGGCCCTGCGCAAGATGGTCCTGACTGTGGCTCCTGTGACTCTGGCGATTCTTCTACTTCCAGGTTGTGCTCCTCGAGTTCCTCGTGGTGGTCATCAGGATCTCTCTGGTCCACGTTGCTGCATTCAGAGGCCTCACAATGGGCACAGAGTCTATAGCAAAATAGCCCATCCTTTCTGCAGCTACGTACATACTTTAGTGTTGCAGCCTTTTTGGCATTTACATGCAATAATCGAAAGTAAGCTTTCGGGGGCTGGAGGCTTTGTGGACAGGATGGGCTGGAGTCCATTGACAGTTCTTTTCCAGCCTAACTGTTCAGGCTGATGCTGATGGCCAAGCCATATCTGGACCTGAAGGTAGACCCTCAGGAGGTGAATATGAGCAGCGTTCGTTGTGGGGGGCAGGGATTCCCTTTTAACCGAGTTCTTGAAAAGTGCTGTCTTGTATACCTTGTACCTTAGGTCGTCCAGGTGTGTGCTGATAATTCCCCCGTATAATTCTGCTAAGAAAGACTCTCCTGCCTCTAACATGGAATCCTGATTAAAGGTCGGGTCATGGGAAGGTGTCCTGAAAAGGGCTAGCTAGGAAGACAGCTGGGGGGGTTTGTCCAGCAACTTCAAACCCTTAACCTTTCCTTGGCCATATAGTGCGGACAA